AATCAATTATCAATATGTTCTAATCGATTAGATAACAGTAAAATGTATTGATTGCAAATTCCTTTTTGAGGAAACCTCAAGCTTATAAGTAGATGCTTCTTTGATCATTTTAAACCATTTATAATCGTGTTTTAACACTTTCATCTCTCACTCTTTCTCTCTCACTCTCTCTCTCTCTAAAGTTTTTTTTAACTTTCTCTCACTAAATGTTTTAGCCAAATTCCTTTGAGAGAAAAGTTCCTTTGTGAGTGAGGATATATTTGTAACTCTGGAAAGGGTAGAGTTGTAAAATTCACCAATGAAATCTTTTGTATACACCTTGGTTGAATATTGTCCATGTAGGGATTTATTTGGATTATAATCCCATCCTATAGAAAGCATTTATTTGGGGATTGTCTTATCAATCCGAGGTTTGGTTGAAGATTAGCCAGTGTTAAAATCTTCATAAGTTATTCGTCATCCTGATTAAAACCAAGATAGGTTGAAGCTCAACCTGATATTAAAAGCTTCATATGTTCGAGATTATCTCAGTTAAAATATCACATGTTTTCGGTTAACCTGGTTAAAACCAAGGTATTTATCTAAGATTTTTTGGAACTTGAAGAATAATCACTCAGAGGTTTTTGTTCATGGAAAGAAGACTAAATCCTTCAATCTACCGTTGGGAAGGAAGATTGGCCGATTCACTCTCAGCAATTTATTAAAGAAAATATGGAAACACCCACATCCATCGTCTTGTAATATTTGGTTGAAGATCAAACATCATTTCCTTATATAAGGGGATTCGTGAGTCTTTCCTACTAAAAGCTCTCAACTATTTTTGGAAACTCTCAAGATCAATTCTTAGGGAGAGGATTAGGTCCTTTTGATTGGACCGAACATCTATAATTCTTGGTGTTCCTCTTTTTCCTTAACTTTTATTTTCTGTAATTTATTTTCTGCATTTATTGTTTCCGCTGCTTAGTTTTTGAAAATTATTTTAAACTCTGATTTTACTTTCCAAAAGTTTTCAAAATCTAGTGTTTCTGAATCACATAATTCACCCCCCTCTTGTATGTGAAAGACCAACGAATAAGACCATTTTGAAATATGTTTTAAGTGTGTGTGTGTGTGTGTGTGTGTGTGTGTGTGTGTGCGTGTGAGAGAGAGAGAGAGAGAGAGAGAGAGAGAGAGAGAGAGAGAGAGAGAGAGAGAGAGAGAGAGAGAGAGAGAGAGAGAGAGAGAGAGAGAGAGAGAGAGTGAGAGAGAGAGGGAGAGAGAGAGCATAAGAAAGAGTTTCCTTAGAACTCTTAAGCTACCTCCTTACTTTTATAGTACTTTTCACTTAGACAGGATGACAAACACGACTTTGTGAGCTTTCACACCTTTCTCGGAAAGCTTCAAGACCTTTTCTAGATAGTTTCTGATTTATATAGGCACTTTTATCTTGCTTTATTTTGTTGACGATTCATAGGATTATTTTTTGGATGTGAAATCATCATTGAAGTTGAAAGCTACCACCGAGTGTTGTCTTCATCAAAACCTTGGATGGATCTTTTGTGGAATTTTTATCTTCATGACATGCAAGCACATAGATTCATATTCCCTCCTTTCTGATAATGACAGTGCATCTCTCAGAGGAGGTAGCGAAAGAAGAAAACATATATATGTTTGGATTTATTAAGCTCCCCTTGAGTTAGATAGAGAGCATACTCTACTCCCTCTAAGATTATACTTCTCCCCCCTTTTCAAAATCAAAAAGGAAAATGAGCTACTAGAAGTAATTTAAAAGCATATAGATTCACATATAGTGTAATCATTAATAAATGCATTATTGATTTTGGATTTCTAATTCAGTTCTTATGAAAAATAAGTTTTCATTTAGAAGTGGTTTGATAAATATATTTGCAAGTTGGTTTGATGAATTTATGAAAACAAATGTACATTCCCCTTTTTCAACATGATCCCTAATAAATTGGTGCCTAACATCAATGTGTTTGGATCGAGAATTAAGTATAGTTTTTTTGTAAGGTTTATAGCACTGGTGTTGTCGTATATTATTGGTAAATCTCCATGTTTGACCCTGTAGTCACTGACCCGTTGTTTTATCCAGATGATTTAAGTGTAACAACTTCATGTATAAACGTATTCGGCCTCAGTTATGGATATCGCTACACATGCTTGTTACTTGCTATGCCATGAGACAAGAGACTTTCCAAGTAAGTGACATGTATCACTAGTACATTTCTTGTCCAATATGCACCTAGCAAAATCGGAGTCAGAGTACCCAACTAAGTCATAATTTGTTCCCTTGGGGTACATAAACCCATTTGTTGTATGCCAGAGAGATATCTCATGATAATTTTGACAATGTTGAGATGTGATTATTTTGGGGAAGCTTGAAAACATGCACACATATGAAACAACCAGCTGAAAATCAGTTGATAATGAAATCAATTAAGTCACCATCGAATGTTTTTTATCCCTCAAGAAGAGAAAGGTAAACATCGAGTAAACCTCATAAGAGTGAAATCAAGGTCAAACGACCGAGAGATCGAGTAAGGAAGTCTGCTACGCGAGGGGAAGGTATTAGCACCCTACACGCCCATAGTACTCTATGGTATCCACTCTTGTTGTTCTAATAAAAGGGTGTGTTCAAATATATAACTTAAGTGCTAAAAATAAAAATGAAAAGAGGGAATGCATGCAAAAGAAAAGAGAAAATAATGTAGGGAAAATAAAGTTATGCTCACTCGGGCCCTACCCCAATGCCTACGTATCCCTTTTAAGGAATCAGAGCCACCGTAGTTCACTCAAAAGTTTCTGTTGGTTTTTATTTTTTAATGAACAATATTAATTTCGCCTTCTTCCGTAGCTCGACCTTTGGAGACTTACGCGTCATCCCAGAAGTGAATTAACATGTCCTTTTGAAAAAGTTTGAAAGCAAAGCCCGAAGGTGCAAAAAAGTTTGCATTGGTTGATATATTTTACTTTGAAGAAGGATTTGAAAGTTGTTAGATGTTTTGTACATTTGCCAAGAAAAAAAGAGTTTTAGTCTTAATGCAAGGATGAAAAAGAAAGAAAAACATCTAAGAGAGACTAACCTATATCTATCCCTAATGTTATCATACAATGGTTGATCATATGGTTGAGTTTTGAAAGGGAAATCTCTAACCTATATTAGCATGCATGGATACCTATCGTAATGTCTAGCTCGAAAGCTACTCTAATCGAGCGATCCTAAGGGAAGCATACAAATTCCTATCCTAAGGGAACATGGTATAGCAAACAAATAAGTAAGCTAATAAGAAAACAAGTGATTTAGCAAAAGCACACAAACATATTGACTCAAAGGGATGGGGGGAAACAAGAGAAATGCTTTAGCTAAGGGGAGAGTATCACCCGAAGCAAATAAGCGGGAGACAGATGAAATAAAAAATGTGACGTCCAAAGCGACTGAACACCTAACCAAGATATAGAAGGTCGAGGTAGGAGACAGAAGACAATATGAACGATCCCGGAGTGTCAGCATCGGCCAATGCGAACTCCTGACAAAGCGTGGGGGTTTGATTGCAAAACCCTTCCCCACTTAACGAACTTGATACATAAGATCTACACGACTCCGAAGCATCGACGTACAATGTGAGCTAAGAATGACACGTATTAGAATGGGCGGGGGTCGATTACGGACCCTCCCCACTTTCCTATTTTTGAGGACTTATCACTTGTAATATATGCATACACAAATGTAAACACACGTGCAGAAAACCTACTTCAAAATTAGGATTTTAAACAAACACAAATAACATACAGAAAGTGGTGCATACTGTAGGACTTTAAACAGCGACTTCGAGCACACGTTCTTTATTTCCTGCTTCCTACTTCACATGATATCTAGAAAGCGATAAATTCCCCTACTATACATGATCTCTTGAAAGCGATAAAATGCTGAAATGAGAAAACATAGAAAATACCAAACGAACAAAAGTTCGTAGCATGGCAAGCAAAGCAGAGAAACCCTAAAAACTCCGAGTAAGATCCACCAAGCAAAGAAAAGAGTCGGAAATCAAATGCTCCGGATAAGTGTCGAAGCATCATTAATGTGAAAATAAATCACAATCGAAATCTCAAGCATATCCGCATATCGCACAATAAACCTGCATAAGACTCAAATCTCAACAAGCAACGGTGAACTACCAATCTCAAGTAATCGGATAATCGAGATTTAATTCCTAAAATCAAAATAATAAAAAATCTAACAAATTTTTATATTTGATTTATTATTTTTTTATCATGTAAAGAAACTCAAATAAAACAATTATCAAAAACATCTATACAAAAATGAAAATAATAAAAAAAGGGTGCAATATGTAAACAATGCTGCTACATAGCAATCCAAATTATGGTGCTAAGCCCAGTCCATGAAACTTTTTTTGTTACAAGCAATCAGACTGCCAAAAAAATAGTTGTTGTGGGCTTTGGGGGGTGCAGTCCGGAACCCAGGGATTTGCTGAAGAATGTTGGCGCTAAGGCCCAACTTGTAAGTCTGACCAGCCATTTTTTGTTGAGGCTCTAAGTGTAAAAGAAAAACTGCACAGTAACGAGCCAAGGGAGTGTGATTCATCCCATCCCTCAACAATATCCAATCAAGTTTTTTGTATTCCCTTCAGTTTGTTATTAGCACCAAAAAAGAACTGACGGGCCTAGGAAAAGATCTTGTCCGATCCATATTTCCCAAACAAAAACTTGTTTCATCATTTTTTATTATCAATTAATTTTTTAAAGAATAATAACGAAGAAGGAGTAAAATTACACAGTATTAGGGAGGAGTGTTAGGGTTAACAACTGTGATGTTTCAGGTTTACAAACAAAGTCTTCTTCATCTTTAACACTGTAAAACAGCGCCACGACTCTCTTTCCCCGATCCATAGCATCGTCGTTATGAAACCACCTCACAACCACGAAACTCCATCCACATCGTACATCTGCTCATCTTCTCTGATTAATCAAAGTGGCCATGGCTAAATCGCACGGTCACTGAAACACAACGCCTCCATCATCCCAACCTTCATCTTGAGACTCTCTCTGAACTTGATTCCACCACAGGCTTCCATGTTTTCGATTTCAAGACTTGAATCAAAGGATGCACAAGTTTTAATGCTAGAGGACGCGATCACTATGCTCAAGCGAAAATTTCTACTCGGAGATCCAATAATCATACACGGGTTGCACACAGAAATGGAAGAAGTTATAACCTGAATTCACAACAGAGATAAACAGAATACTAGAGATAAGGTAATAATTGATTCCTTGCAACTTTTATTCTTCTTAGTGATTGTAAAATGATGATGATGATGGTGATGAACGTTGCTGTAGGTTATGGGCGAATTGATGCGATGATGATGAAGTGCTGAACAGATGCAGAGAGTTTTGAAGATGATAACGGTTGGAGGATGCTGATTGAAGCAAATGCTGAAGCAAGTAAAAGAATCAGTTGCAGAGAATTTTTTTGGAGATTGAGAAGGCTTTGAAGAACGGTTACGGAAAGAGCAGAGAGAAATTGCAGCGAAAGTGAAGAATGATGGAATTTACAGAGAGAAGAATGCGAGTTTTCAGAGAATTTTTGTGATTCTTCTGAAGAGAATCGTGAAGAATGAATCTGATAAATCTGGTGAGTTTTGTTTATATTCTGTTATGAGTTGTTAGAAAAAAGTAACATCTCCTTGAATCTGGGCCTTTGATCATAGAATTAGTTAGAGAGAATAGATGGTGAGGATGAGAGATTTGAATCTGTTAATACTGTCATGAGTTCTGTTAGAAACTGTTGAGCTGTAAAATTGTTTCCTCATTTTCTGATATACTTTTCCTGATATTTTCTGATTACTCCTGATATTTCTCTTTGTTGAGCTAGATTTTTTGTAGCAGGGACTGTTTTCTTTTCAGCTGGGAATAAAGGCCTGATTTATGTTAGAAGTTTGGTTATTTGGTTTCAGCACTTTCCCTCTGATTTTCTATTTTGAAACAAGTGTAGGGCTGTCCAGGTTTGTTTGAATGGACTGGTTTCTTGTTTTCAAGTTTATGAACTGGTTCGATTTTGTGGTGGTGTAGGGAGATTTTAATTGGATAACTATTTTTGGTTAGACTGATTTGAAAAACTCTGCATAATTAAGACTATACTGCCTGTGTTTTACGGTATGGTTGGAAATCTAATTCGGCAGAATTGTACTTGAATTGGGCTCTTAAGTATAAAATATTTTGAAATGAGATGGATGAAAATTGTGTTGAATGTGAACATGGTTTGGAACTGATGCAATTTTTGGGTATGAACTGACTAATGTGTTTACTTGTTTTTGGTATTTTTTGTTGGACTGTCTCAGTTAGCAGGTATGTTATCGTGAGCAGCAGGATTTGAATATAGGTTTTGACGGGCTTGCACTCATGAAGCAAGTACTTAGGCTAGGCTTGAAGAGTTGATGAAATTGAAGATTAGGACATGTTTAGAATTAGGAATTTTGGATCTTGAATCTCTCTTTGTCATGTAATCTTTTCAACACAACGTAACTGAACTTGCTTGGAACTTGAATGAGTGAAAAGGTTTAGATGATAACGTGTTTGGACATATCATGATGATGAATGGCAATGTTACATGATTTGTAATTTCTTAATAGTTTGTAAGTTGTACATTTTTGTAATTACTTTGTGGTGTCTTGTAAACTAAGCCAAAATTCAAAATTTGAAGTTTCCCTCTTAACTTTGTATTTCATTTGAATTCTTTAATATTTTCTCAATTTTTCCAAACTTCAATGAGCATTAAGACGAAAACCACAACTTAACACAGACTTTGGTCAACATTTCACCAATTCCATCTTGTAGTGATTCGTAAATTTCACCATGTTTCCAACCTTTCTCTCAAATAAAACCCAAAGTCATTAACCTGTAATCTAAATAGTCAAATGACCCAATCTTCCATTGATGGTGAGAGCCAACTGATTCAAACTTCAATTGATGAAGAGAGCTCACGCGAATAGGGAAATAAACCCTAACTCCTATAGAAATTGTTAGCACAAGAAGATGATCCTCACTCGTGACCCATAAGAACCTCCATGTTTAAGCCTTTGAATGAAGTCAAATAGAACACCTTGTATTATTACAAGCAACCATAAATCGCCTTATATGATGTTCAAGCATTGGAATGCCTCGAGAGGATGTCTATGAGGAATGTATAACCAAATTCTTAAGGTATGTCTACCGACCATGAGCACATAGAAGCAAACCCCAATTCAACTAGAAACCCTAGGTTCCTTGACCACTTGTCTCTTGAACCTCAGGTGCTTTATTGAATAAAAATGTATGCTATGTTAGTAACCTAATGGAATATATGCAGATGAATGCAAAAGTCTAAGCCTAGATAAAAGAAATTAGAAAGACGAATTTTGGGGTGCAACAACATACATACGAGAAACATTATGTCAAGACGAGATGCAGTTAGATAAAGAAGAAAGTCTACCATACCTTGATATTTTTTTTCTTCAACTGGTTTTCTGTCGTCGTTTTTCTCTAGGCAGCATGAGATTGACATGTGGGTTGCTATTACTTTGTATTTCTCAATATTAAATCTTTGTAGAATCTCTTTAAAGTATTAAGCTTGATTTATAAATGTTCCCATTTTGTTTGATGGATTTGAAGCCCTGGAAAGTATTTTACTTCTCCCATCATTGACATTTCAAACTCATTCTGCATGATCTCAAAAAATTCCTTGCACAAGGATTCATTAGTAGCACCGAAGATGATATCATCAACATAGATTTGAACCAAAAAAATGTCATGCTCATATTTCTTAATGAAAACAGTTCTATCAACTTGACCTCTAGAATTTTTTTCCAAGCAAGAATTTACTTAAACGGTCATACCATGCTCAAGGATATTGTTTCACACTGTATAGTGCCTTCTTAAGCTTGAAGACATGGTATGGAAAAGTTGGATTGATAAAACCTGAAGGTTGATCAACAAATACCTCCTCTTGGATGTAACCATTTAAAAATGAACTTTTTACATCCATTTGAAATAATTTGAAATGCATGATGCATAAACAATCATGTAAACACAAGAACACCATCAAATGTTGTTGATTGATTCCTTGGGAGACTGTGTGAAGGTCTGATCTCAAGAAGATAATGGTTGCGATCATTATAGGAAATCCTGATAGGAGATCTTGTGGGATCAGATTCTACTAGGTCAATGGTAGTCATATCTCAAAGGGGACCGAGTGAAGGTCATACTCTTGTGAGATCACTTATGGATATCATTGTGGGAAATCCTGGTAGATGATCTTGAGGGATCTTATTCTATTGGGTCAATGAACGTTATATCCGGTTGGATCACTGAATGTTTCATATCCATATTGTTTAACACTTTTCCAAGCAACAACTCTAGTGTTAAAACAATTTACACGAAGAGATTTGAATAGAAACAAAATACGAGCAATAACTCTTGTATTCATTACAATGTTCTACAAAGATGTATATGATCAGAAGCTGAGTAGCATCTTGTAGTGTTCTTCTTCATCTTCTTGTTGAGCAAGTTCCGAGCAACGACTCCTTGCTTCTTCTGAGATCTACCAAGATGTTCATGATGATAGTTGATTTACATCTTGTAGAATATTCTTCTTCATTGAGAAAGCTACGAGCAATAACTACTTGCTTCTTCTATTTCATCTAAGATGTATATGATGATAGTTTTATGACATCTTGTTGAAATCTTCTTTCTTTATTTTCTCTCTTCTTTGGTGGTTTTCAGAATGTGTAGCATTGCAGCTTTAACATCTTCAGCATCCACAACTTTCCTTTCACAGGATGAAGCTTTTTCTGTTTGGCCAAGGGCTGCAGACAGCACCGACATTCTTCTTTGAATATTTGATCTTCTATTATAGCCTTGACAAAGAGAGACGTTATGAGGATAGAGAAGTCTTTTCCTACACCAACTATTAGTTCCCAACGGTTAGAATAAGGTGTAAGAGTTTAGACAGTATAAAATAATATTTCTGTATCCTGTCACTGTTCAATGATAACTTTCCACCTTTTCTCAGAATAATGTTTTTCTATTAAGATTGTAAACAGAGATCAGGTAAGTAAAGAAAGATAGTTGTAAATACATTCGTTTGTTCCCAACCGTCACAATGAGAGTGGTCGACAATATAGTATAAAGGATTGTCCTTGCACCACCCTAGAGGGTAGAGGTCACATGCACTTTATGTACCTTTTGTACAACATCACATGTTAACCATTTGAACTTTCTTCTTATCATCAGAGGCTTTAGATATTTGAATGTTAAATATTGAAGCTTGTTGTAGAATATTCACTCTTAAATCTTATAACCTAAGTCTTGGAGTCTTCAGAGTCTTCGGCACTTGGTTGTAAGAACTTGACTTTCTTCAGATCATCAGAACTTATTCAGCAGAACCTCTCTTCATAATCTTCAAAACTTGTAACCCATAAAATTAAAGCTTTAGATGGCCTCCAAAGCTTAACCACAAAGTCACGATCAAAACCTCTTGTACTATTGTTCCTTAGAAACGTTGCAGAAGATAGATTCCAGAATCTTGACTTTCACTGTAACATGTAACCACATGTTTTCTTCCAGTAGCGTATGTTTAGAACCTGATGACGTCACACGCCTTGTACCAGAGTCAAAAAATTATAGCAGCAACTACACACTAGAATGAAACCATTAGTGTATACAATTTTTCTCTAAGATAACATGTAAAGTTATCTTCAAAATCTTAAGGCCAGATGTAGAAACACTTCTTCTTCTTACAATCTCCCCCCTTTTTAATAATGACAAAACCATGTATTTTGATAGAATAATTTATACAGGGTAATCACCGTAACCGACAAATTCAGAGTTAAGCTCACAGCTTCCTCTGAATATGTTAATCCCAAAATTTCATTTAAGCTTGTTCAGAGTCTCCCCCTAAGCCCAATACTCACAATAAAGTTTGAGTATTCAGAACATAAGAATAGAGAAGTAACACTTCCCTACAGCAACTCATCAGAGTCTGACTAGAACACCTGGTCTTAATCTCAGAACATGGTTTCTATCAGCACTTGATGATGTTTCAAAACTTGATTTTGAGCCTGATTGAATAATTCCACATATCATGTATCAACGCTTATGTTCCTTGATTCTGATATTACAACCAAAATACTATAATTCTCAAGCA